TTACATTGGTCAATTTAAGGGAAAAAAATGACTACATGAATCTAAAATTCAGCTCTTTGTTTAGATCCAGTGGCAAAATCATTCTGAAAGGAGGAACTTAGTCTAATGAAATAGAAGCCTGCCCATTCATTCAATGTGATCTTATGGGAACAGATGCTTTAAATACTTAAAGCAAATTCAGTGTCGGCATAACAAAAGCAAGTTAATCATTCCTTTTTATTTTTACTTTTGCAGATTCAAACCAAGGGCAGAACAATGCTTGAAAATAAAACACTAGTATTTTTCAAGGCTGGTTTTTGTGATTATAAGGAAGATCAAACTCTGTTTTGGAAGCACAAGGGTTGTAGTTCTTATTTTAGTAATAAACACGCAGGCTAGAAATCTATACATTTGTTGTACAGACGGAGAGAAATATCTTCCCACATATGGAAATAGTCCATTGACTCTAAGGGCAAGGCAAAGGGCTTGTGCAAGGTACAAAGCTCTGGGCTGGTCCTCACGTCAGGTCAGGTGTGCAAGGAGACTCATGCATCCCCATTTACCCTTTCACTTGATATCTCCATAATGCTCCCATTTAATAGAATTAAATTTTAATAGAATTAAAATCTGAAATTTCCAAGGTCATAAATTGTTATATTTATCATCAATTATGACTGTTATGTGACATAAGTATTGAGTCTATGTGCTTCAATCCCACCACCTTAATCACCTGCAGAGGGTTGTTCCTCCTGCACTCAAAGGTCCTTGTGTGAAAGCTTATGGGTGAGTGCTCTTATTAAAATATCAGAGGTTGTAAGACTATGCCCGCCCTTCAATATATATACCTATATTGCACTGAAGCTGGTTAGAGAAGAGTAAGATAATCACAAATCAACTGAGCGGTGCCTGGGTGACATAGCCAGTTAAGCATCTGCCTCTTGGTTTGGGCTCAGGTGGTGATCTCAGGGTTGTGAGATTGGGCCCCACGTTGGGCTCTACGCTCAGCGAACAGTCTGCTTGGGATTGTCTAATCTCCCTCTGCCCCTGCCTCCCCCCCTCACCACGCTTGCTCACTTGCACGCTCTCTGTCTCTCTCTCTCACTCTCTAAAATAAGTAAATAAATCTTAAAAAAAAAAAAAGAATTCAACCGAAAGACCAAGAAACAAGCAAACAAAAAGAATGGAAAGAAACCCACATTCTCTTTGATGAGAGGCTCCTTTCATTACTACTAAATGGCTTTATGCCTTATAAAAATATAACTCATCTGTAAATGCCCCAATTATTATTTGATTATAATCAAACCCTACATTGTATGTAAGCCAAGTTAGTTGCCACTTGGAATAACACTTGAATTTAGCACAGAACCACTTGTCATCCTTACAGTGAACCTGAAACACTAAAGACAGACAGATTCATTTGGAGAATAAAAATAGAATCACCTTCTTACATCCAGCTTTACAATCCTATCTGCAACAAAACTTACATGTATGTCAACATTGTGAACCAGTATTAGTATCAGTACTTTTACAGTTATCTCTACCAAACCTCTACACCATAACATATTTCTTCACTTTGGAATTTTTCTTCCTATATATAAAATGTCATGAAAAATAAAATAAAATAAAATGGAAACTGCTTTTAGTAGCTTTTTTGACAAAGACATACATAAATCATTCATAAAATATTATCCCAAACCTATAAACAAAAAGAAATCAAATAATGTGGGGAAATAATTGAAAAGGTTAACTGATTATTTCTGAAACTGTGTTTTTTTCTTAATGCTTTAACTGTATTTTCCACATTTTCTAAAATGCAAATGCCGCAGTGTCATCATTGAAAGCACAAACCTTACTTTAATTTTTAAAGAACCCTTTGGTGAAACAAACTATGAATGTCGATGTCTTTAAAATAACATAAAAGATAATGTGCACCTTAGAAATAGTAAATTTAGGTATCTTTCCAGAAATTCCATGAATTCAAGATGCAAGTACCTTCTGGCACTATGTAACCACAAATTGCTTAAAGAGAGCCTTTCCCTTTGCAGCACAATGAACTTCTTTTTGTGAAGAGTGCACAGAATCTTTAAGTGAACTCAATTTCCAGAACATAAAGTATCACTGGCATAAAGTGAAACCATCCAATAAATGGCTTTACAATGCCAAGTGCTAACTATAAGAAAACAGAAAGCCTATCATCGTATTTTCCTACCGTTCATATTTAAACCATTACAGATTTCTTAAATAAGCACCTGCTCTGCAAACTTCTTTTGCTAGGTCAAGCCCTCCCAAACAGGAAGCTGAGGGCTGGGTTATTTTTAAAGTCTTACAACTGGCTCACACTCCCTCTTAAACTCTCTGAGCCTAATCCCACCAAGTTTCCTAGTAAAATTCCTATTCTCCTCAATTAGTGACAACCACCAGAAGCTCACATGCACACGGATGCCAAAATCCAGAGTTATCTGCCCTTACCACGTGCCTGTTAGGGTGACAATCACTTTTCATGGATTACTTTATTAAATCCTCACAACAGCTGACAGGGGTAGAAATAATTACACCAATTTGAAAGCTGAGAAAATTAGACTCTGAAACAGGCTCAAGGTCACGAAGCTGAGCAAGTCCAGTCTACCTCTCCCTTCCTTCTCCTTGTTTCTCCCACCAGGACAGGACCACGGAGATATCTCTTCTCAGTGCCAATTTGCTCAGTGGCTTTTCACATCCATTAAGAGAATCTATGTCATTCGCCAAAAGCCAAACACCTGCAGTGTGTATGCACATGTGTGATGCTGCCCTATCCGTGCAGCACCACGGACTTCCAGAAACAATGGAGAGTCTTTCAAGTCAAGCTCACAGGCAAACCTTTTCCAAAGTCCTGCAGGGTTGAATGAAGGGTAGAAGACTCAGCTCTACCAACCGAGGTCATATTTGTACCTTTTACCCCAGCAGGTGTAAAAGTACAGGTAAAAGGAGTACAACTCCTTCCCTTTGGCTAAGAGTAAGAGCTCATTTTCCCCAAGGGCTAGCTTTGGGGTTAGAGATGGCCACTGCCTTGTGTCCTTGCCCAAACGTGGGAATTTGGAATAAATCTGCTACGAAACCCAACCCATTTTTCCCTGAGGGTCCCCCCAGATGCAGAGGGGCACCTATACAAATCAAATCCTTGAAGTAGATATGTTGAATCAACAGCTATCTTTGAGCTTCTGTCAGGGGAGAAACTGTGTGCTACCTTCTAGAGAAAGAAAGAAAAGGTAGACATATCCTCCACCATCTGATAATGCAGAGAGGGGGGTGGGGGGTGACACCTGACACAAATCATGCCGTAAGTGCAGTAAGGAAGGCAGATGACAGGTTATGTTAACAGGACCACGCAGAGCAGGGGAAGGAGGAGCTCAGGTCCAGGGGAGGACCCTTGAGCCAGAGCTCTTTACTCTGATTATGAGCTCACCGAGTAGAGAACTTGGGGGAGGGGGTAGCTAATGCTCCAGAAAAGCAAAGAAGTTTGTTACCAAATCCCAGAGGCAAGAAAGAGAACATGTGACAGCGGTGGGCAACAGAAATAACTCTACATGCCTGGACTATGAGAGAATGAAAAAGAGCTCAGTTTGTAAGGGGTGTGGGACCACAAGGCACCACAAGGGTGTGATGGGCAACACCAAAGCACCAGCATTTATCCAAAGGGAGCTACCGAAGGCGGGGGCGGGGGGGGCATTTTATAAAGAAGGTGTTGGCCAAGGTACGCAGAAGGAGGACAAAATCTGGAGGCCAGAGGACCAATTAAAAGCCCCTACAACATCCGGTCCAGGCTCCTTGTGATGAAATGTGATGGAAGTCAGCATCCAAAGTCCCCCATGTATTCCCCATGTGCTGAAGTACGTAAAAATACACCAAGTAAGCCCAACCAATCTGTACTCACTGCCCGCTCAAAAATATCAGAAGAGATGTAGGTGACATGTTCGATGCTAGGAACTAAGTCAACTTCTGTCTATTCATTTAACGTTGTGCCCATACATCTCAATGCCATCAAGTGTTGGGTGGATGCACAAGGGCTCCTAGAGATCTGAGAGCCAAAGCAATGATTCTAGAAACTATTCAGTAAGCCAGATTTAGCTTCACCCAGGTATATATGGAGACTGCATATCCTCTCTTGCTATGAAAGGTATGCTTTATAATCTAGTAAATTGGACCAAAAGAGATATAAGCACTCAGGCGCCCCAAATGTTTTCCTTGAATGCCAAAAGAGGCCCAAAGGCCTCTTTCTTCAAAATTAATATTTTTCCTAAGAGATGGGTATTAAGTATTTGTTTATACATCATCCTCAAACTACACTGGCAGGATAGGTGATTTGAATGCAAGGATTATGCCTATTTTCTAAAGAAGGAATGATAAGTAGGAGGGAAACAACTCAAGATCTGTTCTGATTGTGTTCTAGTAGCCTCATCATCAAATGGAATGTCAAGTGTTGACCTGGATATAGGAGCACGTGCACGTTAAGTGGGGTATATAACAACAATTTCCTTGAATTCTCAGTTGACTGGTAAATGGTGTAATCAAGGTCACAGAGAACGGTAATGATGGACATTGGAATGGATGTCAAAACCTCTTGACTCTAGAATTTTACTGAAGAATGTACTGAGAAGTTGAGAACATGGTTTCTGGAGTCAAAATGCCTGGGTCTGAAACCTGAGTCCAGCTTTTATTGGACATCAGACTATGTCCTGCCTCCGTGTCCTCATCTCTACAACAGGGATGTTGACAATACCTACCTCTCAGCTTTCACGAAAAAACATGAAATTAGTTCATGTTAGAACAGTTCCTGGCACATGGGAGCCCCCCAAACACTTGCTATAAAGAACAGGCGTCATCCTATTATTAGCAGCAGACTTTGGGGCAACCTTATGCCGTATTTCATTCTTAGAAGTATTATTTGGCACTCATCAACTATGGCAGAGAAGCTCACATGTAGCTGCACAGATATCAAATGAAATCCAAAATTATCTGCAGTGGCGAAACATAAGATCTCTCACCTTGCTCCTACAACAAGTTCTTTCTGTCCTGGGTCAAATGTTAACTGCGAGAAATCCACAGCATTCTTCGCTCTGAACTCCCGTAACCAGGGGCCAATTTCTAAATAGGAAAAATAAATAAATGAAAAGATAAAAATGAATGATTTTTCCTCCAGGGACCACAAAATGTGCACAACAGGTAGCAAACATTACATTTCAGAGAGGATTTGGAGGTCCCCCGATGTGATCGCGTAGGGGCCACGGGAGGTTTCCAGCAGAATGTCACAGGATCCACACTGAGGATGTGTAAAACCTAGAGAACGGCCACCCAGTAAAGAGTGAGCAAGGCATCTGTGCTCGGGTGTGATTTACAAGCCAGATGTGCATTTTCCTCTGGGCTCTGGGCTGGGCAGAAAAATCACACAGCATTCACACGCTTCATCAAGGGAATACTGAATACAAACAGGACCATTTCCTATGTGTGCTCAGCGGCAAGAACTGAAGACTTGAGAAGTACAAAGCCCTCCTTGGGACCCAGGATAAACACGGGAGCACCAGTAGCCCTCCTTCACAGTGGACACCCTATGTCTGTCCTTTGGGTTTCGATTATATTCTATCAGGCGTGTTAAACTCATACAGCGCTTTCTAGATGAGAAATCCAGTTACTTCTAGGCCTTGTTGGCATTTTTTTTTTTTTCTCTATGGGAAACCAGGAAATAGTCACTCTTTAGAGGCAGGTTTTTCCACAAGACTGTGAACTCCTATGACACGGCCTCCAGCCTAGAGTCCATTCATGATAACATGACAGCGTTGGAGAGGGACAGAATGCTGCTCCACGAGCCATTTTTGCAACTTTTATTAGCACATTTCTGATACCACAAAAATACTCTGGGAGTTGCCTGCCAGTCGTGGCTTGCCTTATCATTATTCCTGACAATTAGCCATGTTATCTGACTGTCATTTTTTTCTTGGATTTACTATTTTGAGTGATATCACACTGACTAAAGAGGCACATGACAAATGTCACATCAACAAAGTCACTGGTGTAGCAAAGGAATAATGTCTTTCAACAAAAGCAGATGCCAAACCAGATTTAATATGGAAATGTGCCCAGGTCCCATAACATGTCCCGCATAAACACCTTTGTTGATAGGATCGAGATGGCTTATTTTCCAGGAATGGCTCTGTATAATAAATAGAGCATTTCTCTACTACTGGTTACTGGGGGGGAAATAAGGTCATGAACAGAAAGTTCTACTCCACATAAAGGAAACCAGAGTTGAGTTCTATAGAGACCTGTATTTGGGCTTTGAAATGTTAATGTGTGTCTTGATTCTTTTTAGAAGTTTATATAAATTTATTCATTTTAGAGCCAAGTCACATAAAAGAAAACACTTAATTATAGTAAAGTAGGTACAAGGCCCTGGAGCTAGAGAAAGTTGTTAATAAATGGTGTGTTCCAGGAAGTTCATAATTCAGTTAGGGAACTAGAGCTACTATCTTCTTTAAGCACAGGGTCTATGAATAGATCTTTACAGGCGTTTAAAATGTTATAGGAAGTATTCACACATAGAAGGGAGAGATGACAGGGCCCTAAGTAAGAAGACAGGAAAGATCTAACCGCGTATTTACAGTGCAGACGTGTTCCACAGGAACAGAGCGAAGCGGGATGCCATGGTGCCCCGACGGCCACAATCGGTGTTGCTCACCTTCTTGCCCCATCAGTTCTCTGTTTCTGGGAGCTGGAGCCGAAGGCTCTTATGTCTGTAAAGCTCCCTGAGATGCCTACAGCCCACAGCACAGTACTCCGATTGTGGGGAGGCAATCATAAAAGATGCAATAATGAAAGAGCAACAACCGGTAGGTGAATTCAAGAGAAGGAGATTGAAAAATGAAAGACATGAGGGAGAACAGAAAAGAGAGAAAGGAAAAAGCAACAGTAAGCCAAGAAACCACTGGGATGGATAACTGACAGGTGTGTTTAAATATAACTGTAAACATATTCGCTCCCAGGTTCACACATTTGGACTTGGCTTCGTCCGTGACAGAGAGGCTTTGAAAAGTTCTCAGGCAAGTACTTGACCCATGAAAGCAGGTATCTTAGGAATGTGCCTGGGCCACTGGCAGGCAGGATGGGGCAGGAATGTTAGATGTTAGAAAGCACCACGATACACCCGTGAGGTGGTGGCTGTATTTCCGGTGGCTACGCAGATGCGGAAGGAAGACATGGTGAGGGCGTCCCATGGGCCTGAAAACACTGCAGGTGAGGCTAAGGGAACAAGTGGAAGATAACAAAATCATTCCCAGGCTACATGAAAAGGAAAGCAATGATGATGAGACACAGGCATCAGGAGGTAAGCGTCGTCTGAGAGAGGACAGGTCAGGTGCAACAACGGACGAGAGCACATGGGAAGAAAGGCTCCAGAACCATCGCTGAGCATGGCTAAGACCTGGAGGTACCCAGAAAGCTGTTTTAGTTCAAGAGCTTCATCACACAGACAGGAAACTCATGACCAGGGAGCCCTGCAAGGACTGGAGTCCCCGGCTCCTGAGTCTATTCTCCCAAACTCACAGCTCCCAGAGCCGGGCACACATGTCGGACCCGAGGAGGCAAGAACGAGGAGGTTGCAGGAGGCGAGAACAGAGGGTCACAGGCTGACCTCTGTGTCGGAGGGGTGGACATATGAGCCATGTAAGGCGAGAGAAGGCTGCGAAAAGACATCAGAAAAAAAATCCGTGAACTTGCCTCTCACGAATTAATCTCTCTTTTCCATTAGACAAACGGGAAGAGAGTGGCCAATGGGCACAGGAGGAAGAGACATCCTTCCGGTTTGGGTTCCCATACTGAGGGATGAAAAGGGCTACACTGCTTCTTAAAATGCCCTCGAATAATAACAGGAGGCATTTAGACAGGGAGAAACAAGTGAACGACCTATAGTTCTATCACTATTGTTCCCTTTTCCTTATTTAAATTTCCAAAAAGCTACCCCACTAAAACAGTGTATTTGTGTGGTTAACACCGGATCTCAGTTGGGTAATCTGGACACTCTCTTCTTTTTTTGATTTTCCCGTGCATTCCTCCAGGTCTGGCTATCCCACTGCATCTCACCTGCCCTCTATCTGACCCAACACCACGCGGGCCTCGGGGGAAGGGTCCGGCACCCACCCAGCTCTCACTGAGAATGTGCCTGTCCCAACACCGCTCCTCGCACTTTCCCGGCAAGATCAGAGGCTGGTGCTCTCTCCTCTGTGCTGAGACCAGCCTCTCCTCCTCTGCTCATCCACCTCTTCCGTCTTCTTCGGTCCCTTCTCTAAATCACCTGTTTTCTCCAAAACATCTCCCGTGTTACCAGGCCCCTTCCCTCTGTCTGGAAGTATACACATATGCCCTCATTATGAAAAAAAGACACCTTTTAAAATACATTTTCCTTACACTCTTGTTATGACAGTGTCAAACACCCAAGACAAAATGTATAGTAAACTCTCAGGTACAGTTTGTCAAAGAAGGCAGTAGGCTCAGTTTCACACGTACATTTCAACAACCCCTTAAGGAACATGTAATGCCAACTTTATACAGCTTACTTCAGGGATGAGACAAAGAGGTAAAGCTTCCTAACGCGGTTCTGAGGCGACTGTGGTCCTGATAATCTTGCCAGTAAGGTTGCACAAAGACATTATGGGAAAGGAAAATCATTGGCTAACCTCATTTAAGAACATGGCTGAAAACACTGCTAAGGGAAGACGCCTATTAGCAAATCACACACACACACGCACACGCGCGCGCACACACCCACCCACACACACACACACACACACACATACCCCGTTTCATATGGGAGAGGGTTTATTCCAGAAACACAAGAATGGATCAAGAAGCTTAACATCAGAAGTTCTATCCGTAGAATTTGCCACCACAATAACAGATTTCCATAGTAGCATGAAGAAATTATTAGTGCTGCTTTAGAAAGCATCGGAAAAAGAACCATCATAAATACAGACAGCTAGAAGAATACAATGTCAAGTAAGGCCGGTGAGGGCAGAGTCTGAACATGGGGCGGATGGCGGTGAACAAGCTCAGCAGATGCCAAAGAAACGTCAGGGCAAGTGAAGAGAGCAGGGGACGGCACACAGCACATAGTAGGTTGAGAGTACAATTTCCAGTAACATTAACTTTCTTAGAACACGCTCATTCCTCCCAAATAATGGGTTCATGTTTTTCCTCTTCTCTCTCTTCTGATCTTGCTGGAAAAAAAAACCCATTTGATGAAATGGAATTTAAATATGGCAGCCAACACAACCTTGTTTGGAAGTTAAGTAGTCACATAAAACCTGTAACTTCAAATTGAATACTTTGTGGATAATTTTGAATATTTGACAGTAATCATGCTAGCTCATCCATTCATTACACAAATAAGGCTCTTTAAACATGGCCTCTGGCAACAACTTTCTACTGCAAAATTAGCTGCAAAGATACATGTGTGCCTTTTCTTACGACCACATAAGCACTCCTGTGATTGTCTTGTAAATATTCTAATAAAAAGTATACTGATCTGATTTTTAAAAGAACCCAGCATTACTGTTTCAAGAAATAACTTTTAGGAACATATGTCGGTGTTAATAAATTTGGCCCAAATGATGGCATATATAAACTAGAGACTTGCGCTTACAGACTCAAGTTAGTCACTCCCCACCCACCCCCAGAAGAAGAAAGAAAATTTTTTAAAAAGAATAAACGTGACTATTAAATAAAAAATCAAACACTGTAAAGATATCGAAGGTAGTCATGCTTGCAAGCCAAGAAAACTTTTTAGAACCTGGTAGGTAAGAATCACAGGGGAAGACCAGCACCGGTCCCGAAACCTGACAGTCCCTCGGAAAACCAGGTGGATGGCTCCTCTAAGTCCAGAGACCATGCTGACTGGCAGGCAAAAACTGAGCAGTGAAAACCTCCGAGGTCAAATAAGAGTGACTCTGGGGAGCCTGTGTTCCATTCTTCCCTCCAAACGTCAGTCAATGAAGGAGCCCAGAAAGCAGGACTGAGAAACTTCTTTGGGGGACTTGAAACCCATATCGGAAAAACCTAACAGGTAGCTTCCCAAGTAACACATTATGTAACACATT